CCGCGCGCCCCCAGCTCAGCGTGTGTGTGTGTGTGTGTGCGCGCGCGCGCGCGCCCCCAGCTCAGCCCCGCCGCGCCCCGCCGGGGCGATGGCCGCGGAGGAGCCGCTGCCGAGCGTGGATCACTACAAGAGCGAGATCGAGCGGCTGACGCGCGAGCTGTCCGAGACCACCCACGAGAAGATCCAGGCGGCCGAGTACGGGCTGGTGGTGCTGGAGGAGAAGCTGACGCTGAAGCAACAGTACGACGAGCTGGAGGCCGAGCACGACAGCCTCAGGCAGGAGCTGGAGCAGCTGCGCGAGGTGAGTCCGGCCGCGGCCGCAGCCGGGTTGCGGGCCGCCGCTCGGGGCCCTTTGTTGGCCGGAGAAGACGGAAAAGTCCATTGTTTTCTGCTCGGGAGAAAAACTACCCGAGAAATGAAGGTGTAAGTCTGAGCTGGGTGGGGGGGGGGTGCTGGCCTGGGGACCCGGGGGGGAGGGACGGTCCCGAGAGCTGGAGCCTTGCACTGGCCGCGGGGAAAATATCAAACTTCCCCGAACTGCTGTCATTTCCAACCCGGGCTTGCGCGATCACAGTCCCGAGATCTGCAGAGCTGAGGAGCAGGCTTGTGCCCGGCACAGAATCTTAGGATGTAGCATCAGCGGCCCCTCAGCTCTGTGCAGCGTAAGTGCTCTGGCGACCGGGGACGCGTCTGAAGAGAACTTGCCAATCCCAGCTGACAAAGGTGGGCAGGCTTGGTTCTCCTTGGGGCTAATGTCTCTTGCTCTGGGCCTGTAGTGGCCAGACAACTTTGCTGGGCCACCTGCATCGGGATCACCTCTGAGCTTCAGGAGGTCACCCTGGGCTGGCCAGAACCCTTCGGCGGCCTGCAGGGCTGGTGCTTGAAAGACTGCGAGCAGGAATGGCAGATGAGGCCTTGCAGGCTGAAACTCCTGAGATCGCCAGGACGCCAGAATAGCACAAGTGGGGCCACACAGAGCGTTTGTCCTCTTGAGTCTTGTGGTATTGGGCTTCTTTTTCAATGTGTACTGGAGGAAAGTAATGAATGAGCTTTGGTCTCCCATCAGGCTCTTGTAAGAAAGCGCGTGTTGTTTAAGGCACTCAGGTTTTTACCTCATTCTTCTGGAGCTGTGAAGAGCAAGTAAACAAGTCTAGATGCTACTGGCCATGCACGCTGCTTGTCTGTGTTGCAGGCCTCTGTCGCCAGGTACAGGGTTGCATCTTACCGAAGCATACAACACCAAGGATCTTTTTCTAATAATGCAAGTTTGTTTTAGCGGAGGGGAAGGGCTTTGTGTTGTTAAAATTTGAAAAACGTGATTTATGGTGCAGCTAATCAACCTGCCTTGTACTTCAGTATGTAATACAGTAAGCATTTATCCTTTCATATCTTATTTTTATTCACTTGCTTAAATAGGGAAAAAGCTAATGTATGGTTAAAAACCCAACCAGAAAGAAACAGTTTCTTGTATCAGGCTGTAGATTTCCAGATGCTGCTTTTCTTGCCGCGTCTGTGTCTGGTCTTAAGGGCAGCTGGACTTGTTTACCTTTTCCTGCTCAGATTAGGTCTGAGGCTGACATGTTTAAATGCAGTGATGCCAGCCGGTGGAGGAAGGGCGGAAGCAGGGTGGTGGTTGTAATTCTCAGAGATGTCTTGATGTTGTCTTCAGCTGTCCACTGTGCTTTGCCAAGGTGAAGTGCAAATCAGACAGCACCAGGCCCTGCTCTTCTTGGTGAAGGCGGGGGACTTTTTCATGCTGTGGGCTGTAGCTGTGAGCTGACCTTCCTGCTTGCTTTAAAGGGCCCTTCAGGGACCTTCCAGAAACCTTGCACCATCGACCTTAATGTGGCTATCTTTGCCTATAATAGACCATGGGCTTTTCAGGCAAGGAATCATTTAGCCATTTATTTTACCTAGACTTAGTTAAAACTGTATGTGTTGTGTATTTTGAGGTATATACATTGTGAAATGGCATACTCTGTAGAGCTAATTAACAAGTGTATTATCTCACATGGTTAGCATTTTTGTGAACCATTCTCTGCACTTTCCAAAAATACAGTCTATTCTCATTAACCATAATCACCATGCTGTACAACAGCTCTCTTAAGCTTATTCTACCATGTACCTCTAGTTGTGTATGTTTTGACTAATGTCTTTCCAATTTGCCCTGCCCCAACCACCCCAGCCTCTGGTAACTACTACCCATACTGCTCTCTACTCCTGTGAGATGAACTTTTTGATTCTATATCTGAAGGAGATCATGAGGTCTTTGTCTTTTCATGGCTGGATTACTTTGCTTAATATAATGCTTAGTATAAGGAAGCGCAGTGCACATCAAATCCAAAGTCTTTAACACCAGCTTAGCGCATAGTAGGTGTGCAATAAGTATTTTATGAAAGAATCAGTTTCTACTGGATCAGGCATCCACCAGTGGATGCTTGGTGGGTGTCAGAGAAAGACTAAGAACTGGATGTGTGACGTGACTATCTGTATTAGTTTCATCAATAGTAATGAGAGGAATGGGGAGGTAGCTAAGTGGGATACCTACCTGTCTAGCAAGTGCAAGGTCCTGAGTTCAATCCCTGGTGCAAAAAAAAAAAAAAAAAAAAAAAAGTAGTAAGAAATGCTTGTGATTTCCTAATACAAATAATACAGTTGTATGTGTATTTCTATAAAATTTTAGAGCAGTTTTATATAGCAGGTTAACAAAAATTTATTAGGATTAGTTTTTCAGCAGATTTCACTTGACCTTGTATACGTTTTGAGTCATATCTAACATAAAAACTTAGTGTAAGGTTCTTAATAAACTGGCTTATATGATTATATAAAATGTATCTAGGGTAATGAAATAATCATTATTTTAGTTGTTTGATAGCAAGTCCTGCTATCAGCCCTTGAAGCATGTCTGTGTACTTTTAGTCTGAGTATGACTTAAATGAGCTTAATGAATCTCAACAGTCATGTCTGGGGGCTGGTGAAATGGCTCAGTGGTCTAAAGCACCTACTTAGAACAAGCTTAGCAAAGCACAGGGACCGCGGTTCAATTTCTCAGGACCACATGCCAGCCAGCCCTGCCCCCTGGTGGGCTGAGCTGGCCACACACACACACACACACACACACACACACACACAAATAAAAAAACAAGACAAAACAGTCATGTTTGAAAACTAATTCGAAGGTAACTGTGCAAGTAGATATTTTGATGATGTCATATAGAAGCCATTTTTGAAAACCGTTTTGTGAGTGCTGTGATGCTTCAAGGAAAGTTTTGTTCGCTACCAGGAATCCAGAGTCAAAGATGTTCTTGTATTCTAACTAGAAAGCCAAGTAGAAAATAAATCTTTGGCTTCTTTTGAGATTCTCCCAACAGATAGGATTCAGTGAGAGTCAGCCGGACCTGAGTCTGGGAATCCAGCAGAAAGCTGCTGTGCTCTGTCTGAAAGGGGCCTGGAGGTTTCAGCCAGGTCTTCTGGGCTCATCCTTCCCCGCTTCCGTGTCCAGCAAGGCTGGGGGCCTCCTTCCAAGGCTGGGCCCTGCGATGATGAGAATGCAGGGGAGGAATCAGTAAAATGAATGAAGCAATCTTTTTCTAGTTATTTCTTCCCCAGGCCCAGTTGCTTTTGGGGCTGGCCCTGCGCTGTTGAGGGCCTTGCCTCTGCTTAGTTGTGTGACTGTTGTGATGCTGTTCAGGAGGAAGGCACTTGAAAACCCCAGGGGGCTGAAGAAAGGGTGGTTTGTTACATCACCATAATGTTCTCCTGGTTGACTCTGGGCAGCTGGACATAGCGTCTTGGCGGCCAGAGGCCTCGCTGTGGATGTGTGACCTCACCAGCAGTGCTGGCTCGTGCGGGGTGAGGGGCCCCCTGCCCACCTGCGCTCCCAGCCTGGCAGTGTGCGGGAGCATGAATCAGTGCTTTGCGTCCATCACCCAGGCCAGTGTTGGAGGAACAGTCATGATTCTAAAATAACCTGACAACTAAAAGTACATATTCAGAAAAATACCCTCGATTTGAAATGTACAATGTTTTTTCTTTGTTCAAAGGGTTGACATTTAAAACACAAGTTTAGAAAGGTACCTTCAATGGAATGATTCAGCATTCCTGGTAGAGCTGTCCACAGCCAGGGCGCAGGGGCAGGTGCTAGGATGCCTCAGCTCCTTGGGGCTCCTTTCTGCGACCCTGACCCTGACCCTGACCCCCACCCCACCCCCGCCCCCGCCCCTGTGGCAGGCACCGGCTGCTTAGTACTTCCTGGGCGCGAGCAGCTCTTCCTTTGCAACTCCTTCCGGGCTCTGAATCATTCCAAAATGTGAACATTTACTTATACAGTTTTAGAGATGATCAAAGTAGGCCTCTGATGATGATGAAGCTATTTAAATTCCCTGGCTTCATCTTTGAAACGAGATTCATTTTTATCTCATATGTATGCTCTGACAGACTGTCAGCTTATTTTATATCTGCAAATTCAGAGTCACAAAGTCTTCTGGGGGAACCCTCAGGTTTCTTTTCTAATCTCTGAATGAACATGATGAGCACGTTAATACCCAGTTGATTTGCATGGACTATGTTAACTTCTTTTGTGTTTAGAGAAGGACTATTTTACATTTATGATGAAACTAACAAAAATTAATTTATAAGTCGATGCTTTTGGAAACAGTTTACAAACAATTTCAAAGATCATTTTCAGTTACATCTTTTACTTTGACCCAGGTGCTCACACTTGGAACGTTCCTTCGTTTTGTTCAGTTCGCAGTCTCGTTTCTGGCAAAGGCATTTCTCAGGGGCCATTTAGCCAAGATGTTACGGTCTTCTACCTTATCCGCCATGTCAGTGGGAGAAAGCAGACCAGCACACTTTTAAGGTTTGCTTCAGGATTTCTTGCTTCCATATATAAATATCCTGTCCTTTCATCCCCTTAAGAGACTGTACTTTTAGGTAATGCATTCCAAATTTGAAACTGTAACAGTTTCTACTTGCACATTGAAATGTTTCTTACCTAGAAGTTCTGCCAGAGTTGTGGCTCTGAAGGAGAGGAGAGTGGGAAACGGTGCATCCTCGTAGGGTCAGATAGGTCCATTCACCGCAGGTGAGGGTGTGTGTGGGCTCAGGAGGAGAAGCTGCTGGGAAAGTGTTGGGGCCACAGCTCGTGCTGGGACTGTGGAGCCAGGGAAGGGGAAGGACAGAGCTGTGTACAGGGTTCATGTCTTATCTCCTTTAATCTTCCAAATAATTCAGAGATTTCTTGCTCATTTTTACAGTGAAGAAAACAGTAAAAATATCTAACCTCTGTATGAGACTGGG